CCACTGCAAACACCAGGGACAGAGGCGGGCTTCACGTGACCTCCTGTATCGCCCTCCACTGATTTTTTCCTTTGCAGGCAGGGTCTCTCTTTCTACCCGTGGTTTGTGTTTCCTGGGGTAGCCTGAAAGCCACCAAGTCCCAGCAATACTGTCTATGCCTCCCTTGGATGTGGGTTACAAGCATGGGTGTGTGGCATGCCCAGCCTGCTATGTGGGTGCTGGGACTGGAACCCCAGTTCCAATGATGGTGCAGCAAGCACAAATTTCCCTATAATATAGGTTTAAAAAAGTGAAACCAAATTGAGACATGAAAAATAAAGACAACAAAACCTCAGAATTCTAAATGGAAGAATACAAGAATACTGTGAGGCTAAACCTGCAGGCTATGGTGGCTTGTACCTATTACTCTAGCATCTGAGAGGCCGAAGCAGGAGGATTTTGAATTCCAGACCAGTCTGGGCTATGTAGTGAGATCCTGTCTCACACACTTTCCCCGCAAATGCAGCTAATTTTTAATCTTTATTTGCATGGGTGTTTTGCCTGCATGTGTGCCTGGTGCCTGTGGAGGCCAGAAGAGGGTGTCAGATCCCCTGAAACTGGAGTGACAGATGGCTGTGAGCCACCACGTGGGAGCTGGGAACCAAACCCAGGGCCTCTAGAAAAGCAGCCAGAGCTCTTAAACACTGTCTCTCTCCATTCCCAGGATATCTCACTTTTGATAAACTTACTCTGATGTTAAGCCCACCGGAGCCGGGTGGTGGCGCACGCTTTTAATCCCAGCACTTGGATTAATATTTGCACCAGGCTGGCCTCAGTGAGATCGAGGACAGCCTGGTCTACAAAGCGAGTTCCAGCACAGACAGGACTGTTACACAGAAAAACCTTGCCCCCCACCCAAAAAACAAAAAAACAAAACAAAACAAAACAAAAAAACCCCAACCAACCAAACAAATAAACAAACAAAAATAAAACAAAACAAAAAACCCAACCAACCAACCAAACAAACAAACAAAAACAAAACAAAACAAAATTGAAAACAAGCCCACTAGTTAAATCCATGAACCTTAACGCTGGGGGTTTTCCGTAAAGCAATAGGAAAGTGAACTGACCCAGCCAGTCCTTCTCCTCGTCAGCAGTATTTGACCTTCAGCTTCATCTTTCGCACTTGACTTTTCTTCACATGACAGGGATAGAAAAAACAAGTCTATTCAAAGCTGTGAGTAGATAATCCCCCCAAAGAAAATCACCCTTCTTTGTAGCGCTAACCAGCAAACCCCACCTGGGGCCTTCATCATGGAGAGGCATGCCTTGCCCTCAATTACCAAGTATTTTGTTTTGTTTTAGACAAGGTCTCCTGGCCTTGAAGTCAGTTTGTAGCCTAGGATGACCTCAACGACTGATCTTCAGGTCTCCACCTCCCGAGTACTGGGATTCTAGGCACGCACAACCACTCTGGGCTCAGGCCTTGCTGTGGATGGATCCCAGGGCTTCGTGGATGTAAGGCAATCACTCTAGCAATTAAACTAGCAACCCTCATTACGTTTTTCTCTCCTCTTTTTGGAGACAGGTCTCTCTATGTAGCCTTTGCTAACCTGGAACTCATTATGTAGACCAGGCTGGCCTCAAGCTCACAGAAATCCATCTGCTTCTGCTTCCTGCGTGCTAGGATTAAAGGCCCGTGCCAACATGCCCAGCCTCATACTACCAAGTTTTTTGTTTATTCTGAGACAGGGTTTCTCTGTAGGATAGCCCTAGCTTTCCACCTGCTTCTGCCTCTGCTGGGATCCTTCTGCTGGGATCAAGGTGTGTACCACCACTGCCCGGCTTCCTATTACCAACCTTAAAGAGGATGTTATTATTGCTTCTGTGTTCCTATCATGCATCTGGATGGGGAAAAGAAGACCTTCCCTTAATGGAAGTGTGAATTCTAGAGACAACTTTTCTCAGCACGCTTGTGAGGAACACACAAGGATGACACAGTGAGCAGAGCAGCTAGTTTATATTGAAAACTTGTTTGAGCCCCCCCCTTTTCTTCTTCGAATATTTTTTTTTAAAAAAATGCTTGCAAAATCTAGTTCACAGTGCCCCCTTTCTCCAGGGCACTGGATTCAAGGGCTCCACTCCTTTCTGAGGAAAGATGGCATGTATTTTAGGACACTGCCTGAGGTCTCTCAGTTTTGGAGGATCTGCCCAGTCTCCCAAGTCACTCACACAAGCCTCTGGTTTAACATCAAACCTTGGGTCTCTTGTATTTCCACAGGACTGACAGGCCTCCTTTCTCTTCCAATAACCCACAATGGACTCAGGTCAGCATGTCCGTTAACCCTGATTGTGCCAAAGCACTTCCCAGACAGGAGTTTGGGGCTTAGCTGTTTCTTTTCCTACCAGTGCCTTTGTTTCAACAAGAAAAGTTTTAGCTTTTGCTATGTGTGTGTATATGGGAACCCATGTGTGTGTAAGCCATATATGTGTGTGTGCATATGTGCAAGAGAGAGAGCTCATGTGTGTGTGTGTGAACTCATGCATGTGGCAGGGGTATGCCTATGCATGCGTGTGTATGAGAAGCCATGCACGTGTGTGAGCTCATGAGTATGTGTGTGTATGTATATAGGTCACTGTAGACATTGAGCATCTTCATCTGTCTTTATCAAATTTGGGGGGACAGGATCACTGAACCTCAAGCATGCTGTTCTGGTGAGGCGAGTTGGCAGCCTGTCTCCTCCCATGCTGGGTGACAGATGTACACATACCTGCCAGGTGCTGGGGATAGGGGCTCAGGACCTCACAGGTGAGCTACAAGTACTTCACCCACTGAGCCTTCTCCCCACCAAAGCCTTTTTCTTTTTCTTTCTTTTTTTTAAAGTTTTTTTTTTTGAGGGGAATTCCAATGGTCAAATTAGTTTCATTTTCCAAAGCTCTTAAGCCTTGCAGAAAGTCTTTAAAAACTTGTCTCTGAAATATGTTTTCCAACATTTACATAAAGTTCAAATTTTATATCATACTTTTTTTTTCAGGATCCAGAGTTAAATATCACGTGAAAGCAAGGCCCTAGAAAAGAATTTTTATTTGCCAGAGACTGGAGCCAACTGGCTGAGGAGCCAGCATCTCTACTGGGCATTTACTTACAGCTGCTGGGCAGGGCCAGCTGTGGGAGAAACCCAAGTTCATTTAGGGAGAAGACAGACATCAGTTAAGGCCACTTAGCAAGATTCAGGCGGGGGGGGGGGAATGGGAGAGGGGATGGATGCTTGTGGATGGAGCACTTGGTATCCAGGCGCGAGAACCGGCGCTGGGATCCCCAGAGCCCATGTCAATACCAGGTGGGTGTGGCGGGAAGTGAACTGGGAGCAAGCCAACTAGGCTGGTGAGTTCTGGGGTCAGTGGAGAGACTCCGCCTCAATAAGGGGGAGAGCTATAACTACTACACCCCACGGTAACACTGGGTCTTGCATATACATGCATGCATACAGCTGAACGCATAAGTCACAAACATACAGATGCAAGTAAAAGGCATACACAGTGGTGGTGAGCCATAGCTGTAAGCCCAACACTTGATGCTGAGACCGGAGGATTGAAAGTTCAGGACCAGCCTTATAAAATGGTAAGGCAGTGGCTCTCCACTTGTGGGGTCAACCGACCCTTTTGTAGGAGTTGCCTTAGGCCATCAGAAAGCACAGATAATTATGGTGTATGTGGTCTGTGCATGTACTTGTGAGTATGGTTGTGTACATGGGTGCATGCAAGCACATACTGTGTGTGACTGTATGTGTAGGCCAAAGGCCGACATCAGGGTCTTTGTCACTCTTTAACTTTTAGTGACAGTGTTGCTCATCAATCCTGGAGCTTATGGATTCAGCCAGGCTGGCTGGCTGGCCAACGAGCTTCACAAATCTATCTCCAGCCCTGATGTTACAGGTGTGAACTACCATGCCTGGCTTTTCATGAGGGTTTTGAGGGTCAAGCTAAAGTCCCCATGCTTATGAAGCTGGCACTGAGTCATCTCCCCAGCCAGAGGACGGTTGTCTCTTATCGTCTACTAAGGCCTCTGGGCTGACCATCTATTTTTATAAATAGATTTACGGGAATATACAACGTAAAAAGGATACTTGGTGGTTCTAAACCCCATACTACAGTCTAATGAGAAAGCATTGGGCCAGTGTCAGGCCAATCCCAATAGAACATTCCACAAAATCCCTGGCTAGCGTTTCTTAAAACTGCCAGTGTTGGCATAAACAAGAAAGTCTGGAGAACAAGGGACAAGCAACAGCTGAGAAGAACTCAAGGACACGTCAAAAACAATGCAGGGTCCCGTGTGGCCTCCAGAAGAGGACTTCACGGGGAAACTGAGGTATCACGTGAGGCTTTCATATACAGCCATCCTTTTCGTATCGGCTCTTTGCGACAGTCTCGTTCTAGACCAGACTGCAGTCAGCCTAACCAGGCACTTTGGTCAGTCCTCCTGGCATAGCCCTCCAAGAGCTGGGATTAGCAGTTGTAAGCTCCAAGCTCAGCTCATTATTGGTTCATTAGTAGTGACAAACATACCAAAGAATGCCCGGTATTCCCTGGGGAAGCAGCGACACATGAGATGCTGGGAAACCTTACTACTCACCCCTCCACCGCCCAACCGCACTCCTCCACTCTGTATTGGAAAATCAGGTTTACTGGAGGGAGAAAAATGAGTGGTGATGTGTTGCTTTTTAAATGCCAATTGGATGACAGCAGGCTTAAGAGTAATCCTGCTGTAACTGGGTAAGACTGGGGCGGAGAAGCCTTCAGAGACCCAGCGCTTCTGAGAGAAGCGGGGTGCAGGTGTGTCCCTTTCTGTTTCATGACAGTAGAGGCCTGAGGACTCCCACCTTTAGCCAGCACCTGTTTCCGCAGAGGAGGAGCTGGAGAGCTGGAGGGCAGACCCCCGTGCCTTCAGCAAGGTGTGCTAGCTTCTGCTTTCAAATGTGAAGCTCACTCGAGTGTCAGAGTTAAAACATCATGCTATCAAATCGTTTATAAATGTTTATTAAATGTCAGTAATTTTTACAAAGCAAATATTAATAGTAAGGAAACAAATTTTGCAAAATATGTACAAAAGTAAAAAGCCTTAATGAATAGCAACTCGTTTTATAAAAAGAAACCATTCCTTCCACTCTTAGACCTCCTGTAGAAATAATTTACTGCTACTCTGGAACCAAAGCACTGGCCAAAAGAAATTTACAACAGTATCAGATAATGTGCCTAGTTCCTGGAAAGTTATAAAAAGATGTACAGAAAAAAAAATCTAAGCCACAAATACTTTTATTCAGGGTAAAATAAACCATGTCTGGTTAGGAGCAGTATCTGCGACGGTAGCACTGAGTGCTTCGGACAAGGCTTCTTGTGCCCCCGCGAGCTCACACGTAATAGAGAAAAGCCATCTAGAATATTTTGCGATTCTGCTTTCAAGTAAGAAAGAGGTAAAGAGAGGTTACACAGTGCAGTCTGCTTCATTACCGTATGCGCTCAACCAGAACACATTGCCTCCTTCCTCCCCGTCACTCCTGCTACCATCAAACAGGCACGGTTAGGGCCAAAATCGCTACTCTTTTTTAGCAGTGCTGGATCTGTGAATAAAATCAGAATTACATAGCAAAAAGGTGGTTTATTAGGATCAGTGATTGTCACAGATTGGAAGTTTATGCTTCCTGCATCCAGGTAGGCTTCAATCCATCTGGAGTTTCATCACCGTAACACAGCAAAGGTCATGAAAGTCACTTGACAGCCCACAAGGTACAGGCACATGTGCTTGAGAAGGCAAGCGGTAGTCTCTGCTCTTGGCTGAGTCTGGAGATCTCAAATTCAAGAGGAAGAGTAGACAGGGGGACCCTGTCTCAAAAGCACACAAATATACAAACAAATGGCACACAATGTCCTGTGCCATCCCTGGCATTTAGAACTGGATGGGTAGACCTGAATGCTATACATAAGGATGAACAGGTCAATTCAAATGCTCATCTACATTCAGGCAGGAGAACAAGGATAGTGGACACACACTGCTTTGATGAATCGGGCAAGCGCCTGCCAGGCGAGGCTAGCGGTATCCAGCTGATGGTATCTGAAAAGCCATCATCAGGTTTGAACACAGAATTCAATCTTTAGTATAAACTAAGTCCTAACGTCGTACCATAAGCAAATGGGCATCATGTGCCCCATGCTCTCTAAACTGAAAAGCCATCCCAGTGTTAAAGGAAGAAAACAAAGGAGAAAGTGCTTTTTCTCGAGTATCACAGCACAGGCTCACTGGGCTCATGGAATTCAATGTGCTGAAACCACAGGAAGATACAGCAAAGGCCTATTTCCAAACGAGAGGACCTGCAAGACTGTACTCTCCATCTTTTAATAAAATTAAAGAAATGAAAAGGTAGCAGAGCGGCTTTCTCTAGGTTTATTTGGGAATTTGTTACAAATTGACTGGGCTTTACAGTTAGGGTGCATGGGTTCATACAGGAAATTCAGATTAACACTGACACTTGGTCTCCTCGAATGAGAAATAGAACATCGCTATAAACTGCAATCCAGAGTCACATTTCAAATGGTTTGTTTGGGTTTTGCCTAAATGTATCATTAAATAATGAAAGCACCAATTTGAGGGATTTCCAAATAGCTTGAGTTTCAGGATATAACCACATAACTTGGAGATTTTATTCTTCATATAAACGAGGCATAACCGGATGTGAACACCAATGCTGAGGAACACATCCCGTCAGGACAGAAGCCCAGCGTTCGGGCTTACATTGGAAGGCGGTTGGTTCACTTAGAGGGCACAGGCTGCGCTGCATCTGACAACACTTGTCACTTCTGGCACCAATGTGGTCCTACTTTCTCTCACTTTAAATTAACAGCTGCCACCAACTGAGCAGGCATTTCCCTGGAGAGCCTGGGCTGGAAAGCGTCACAAAGGACCGGCTGGGTGTCAAGTGCCCACCAAAGCACTATGATAGAAACGTGCTCTTCTCCAGGATGCCCTGTCTTGTTTGGCTGCAGCTGCCCTCTGGCTATCAGAACCCTTTCCAGATAGAAAAACTGAAATGGAGGCGTCAATTTAATACAGACAGCATTTGGCAGAAAGCAGTATTTCAGAACATTAAGAATATTTAAGTGGCAGAAACGCACCTTGAAGATGATAAGAAGCCCTTTCCCCGTTAGAAACAATTAAGGTTAAATCTGTGGTGTCTTTCATTTATAAGGCAACTCTGTAAAATGTAAAAAAATTTCAAAGTCAACCAAGACACTTGTGTGATCGTGCGTTGCAGGAAGGGGTTAGGCACAGGTCAATCCACTTGCCCAAGACATGCAAAGTCCAATGCCCCACGGAGCTTTGACTCCAAGTCGCATTTTAGGGACTGGGGGAGTCAGAGTCAGCGTAGGGAGGGTGGAGCACCTTCTTAATTCTGTTGGCTAAATTTTGCCTTCCTCTTCACACAGTTCAATTCACAAAAGGACCTGACTTTTAGCTGTAAGATTCCTTTCAAACATGGACCAGAACTTTTTGGCTAAGCCTTACAATTCTTTGAATTCTAAACAATTTGGTATAAACTGCAAGTAAGCAATCCACTGCTTCAGAATGTACCTAGACTGCATTTGGTTCTGAGTGTCTGCATGCTTCAGAAGGAAGGTGCAGATGCCCAGAAGGATGCTGTGTCTAGTCAGGTGCTCTTGTCATTTCTTGGCAATAGTCACAATGGAGAAAATCAGTGGTTCTGTTCTGACAGGCATGATTTCTGTCTCACCAGAGTCAAGTGTAACTGGATATACCTGCTTTCTGGAGGGACTGACTTCTACATTCACTGCAGTTAGTTGTGGCCAATGCACAGCAATGTCTGCTAAATTAACAAAACAAACCAAGTGTTACTGTGCACGTGTTCAGATTTCATCAGCACTGGAGTTATGCTAACCTCAAACACTTAAACGATACATTCTTTTTGGCAAAAAGGACTAGATGTAGAACATTTTAAATATACATAAATTATGCTATCAACACCTGTACTGTGATATTGGACTACATGTCTTAAGCTCATGTATTACCAAAGGCAAGAAAACACTGGGATTTATAAATAAAAAGACAGCAAGAGTTCAAATCCAAGACAAGTCAGGTCTATTGAGAACACATCCCTCGTTAGGATACTAAGAGGCCCGGTTCACACACCTGCCATCAAGGACTAAGGAACACCACTGCCTGTGAGCCACCAAGTTGACCAATCTTTCAGGGCCCAATTTTTTGCCTGAGAAGAGTCACACAGTAATGTGACAGGCGTCAGTCCTCACGCATTCTCCGGGGGAAGCAGGGGTGTGCTCAGGCTCTGCAAACTCCACAGGCCTGCGGAACATGACAAATGTTTTCGTACGCCAGTCACTATGGGTATATCTAATCACAAAGCTACTTTATGGGCATGGTTTAACATAGCAGTGTGTGTGTGTGTGTGTACGTGAAAGGCAAACCTCCTAAGTATGGACCAAAAGAATTACTTATCCTTAGATGCATTCTTAAGACATTCAAATGTACCTCCATAAGGTTGTCATCTCCTACACAACAGCAGCACCGACACATACAAACTGCGCCCACAGGGACACTAAGCATGAATGGGATACTCAAAGGATGACTTCTTGCATATTTCACAGGAAAATACTGCCCATCAAGCTCTTGGTGACAAAGAACCCCCAAACACCACAGTTAGAGCTGCTGAGATTGAGACAGGAGGGCAAAAGAAAGAAGACCCAACAGAGTTTTCCTCCAGCAAGGCACGAAACCAATTGAGACAGACCAAAAAGTCACACACATGGCACTCAGCAACAGCTATGGTGCACGCCCTTTCTAGTTGTTGTTATGGCAAAAATGTTTCTAACACAGCATATTAAGTTACTGATACTTAAATATGGAAAAGGCAAACTGCACGTCACTGGTTATTTTAGATCAATATAGTACATGTACCATTTGTGAGCGCATCAGCATCAGACCGAATTCCATACTGTAAACTTAAACACTAAGACATTACCTTCAGAAGCTACAGACACTGAGAAGAAAACTACTGCTGCGTGTGCAAGCAAGTGCAACACAGCGCAGCTCAGCCTCCGAAGACCTAGGCTGCTGGGCCCTAGACTGAACTTTCTCTAATAGCCCCTTCACGCTGTGTAAGGCACTCTCTCTCGGGTCTCATCTTAGAGCTGAGCATTCCTAGAATCGTCCCTACAAAGAGTTAAGGATGCTGCCTACTCTTGGCACTGCAGGAAAACTCAGCTTGCAAGCAGAAGCATTCAAACCTGAAATACACCTCATGTGAGGCTGACCAGGAAGTTACAACTGGACTTGAATGGAAGCCATGGTGAAAGCGATCAAAGCCTGGATTCCAGCAGATATTGGCAATGTGTTGTTAATTCAGCAGCTTTCAGTCCCACACTGAAGGCCGCAGAAGGACAAGGTCTCTAAGAAGTTAGACATAGAACTGAGACTTTTCTAATCGCTGTTGTAAACTGCTATTTAAAAAACAAAAACAAGACAAACAGAAAACAATCAAAACCACAACAAGGATTAAAACAGCAAGTCCTGTCATCACTGGAGCATAAGCTGCTTGAGGTTGTCGTGGAGGATTGTGTCCTTCACGTCGCGGAACACGAGGCGGATATTCTCCGTGTTGATGGCGGTGGTGAAGTGGTGGTACAGTGGCCTCTGCTGTTGGTCCCGGCGTTTGCCCCGGAAGCATTCCACCAGAAACTTTTGGACGTCTCTTAAGCAGTGTGGGTCCCCTTCAAAGTCTAGGAAGTAGTCTTTGATGCTCACAACTTGTACTTTCTCTTCAAGTAAGTCTGTCTTGTTTAGGAAGAGAATTATAGAGACATTGCTGAAAACCCGGTTATTGACAATTGTTTCAAAGATGTTCAGAGATTCTGTAAGGCGATTGGTCAAGCGATCCTCCATAAGCACCTGGTCGAATTCACTTGAAGACACAAGGAACAGTATTGATGTCACACTGTCAAAGCATTCAAACCAACGTTTCCGTTCTGATCTCTGGCCGCCTACATCAACCATTTTGAAAGGAACATTTTTAATTTCAAAGTCGTACTCATGGATGCCTTTGGTAGGTCTCCTGGCAAGCAGAATATCTTGCTGTGATGGAATGTAATCCTGGAAGAGAAAAGGGTTTATACTTAGAAGTCCACAAGTAGCAATAATAGATGTGTAAATTAAATAATTAAAAAAAAAAAAGGTCTCAATAGGAGCCCAAGCTGGCCTCTAGCTTGAGATCCTTCAATCCTCGTGTCTCAACCTCCCAGAATTACAGGTGTGAGGCTCCACAACTGGTGCACATCTCACATGTAAGTGGAACTCCCAGCTGACTTCACCCTCCTGCACTGCCACCAGTACCCACTCCTAGGTCAGGCCAGAAAAATTTCATTGCCCACGCATCTCTATGCTGTTCCTCGCCCCTCTAAAAACAGGAGGATCTGAGAATGTAATTCATGAGGCTTACTTTCCATGCTTGGTTCTGACCTATTCTCTAATTTGTTACAAAGCGTCTTCATTGGACACACCTCCTTTAACCTAGCACAAGTGACTAACAATGTGCATTCTGGACCACAGGCTAGTCTGTTTCCAGGCAACAGTTCAAGCAGCTCTTACTCACTTGATGTGGGATTCCCCTCTGTATGCTATGAATATGTTTTATTACCACTGGTTACTAAAGAAGCTGCTTCAGTCTATAGCAGGGAAGACTATAACTAGGCTAGAAAAGATATATAGAGAGAGTAGGCAGAGTCAAGGAGAGGCCATGTAGCTGCCGAAGGAAACAGATGCCCTGGATCCTTACTGGTAAACCATGAGCCTCGCGGTAAAATGCAAAATAATAGGAATGGGTTAATTTAAAATACAAGAGTTAGCTAGGAAATATGTCTTAGCTAATGGCCAAACAGTGTTGTAATTAAAATAGTTTCTGTGTTATGATTCGGGTCTGGGCAGTCTCCGCCTATAGTCACTGATGAAGAAAGCACTCTGAGCACCAGCACCTCTGCTGAGGAACAGGACATTCACACTTGGCACACTTGTCCTGGAAGAGCATCACTGTCAAGGTTAGCTCTTCCTGAACCCTTCATGTGGCTACTGCTATGACGACTAGGCTGACATGTATTTGTGATGATCCTTCTGCCTCTGCCTCCTCAGTGCTAGGATCATACATTTATGCACATGCGAATGTGAGTATGTGCCTGCACAGGCGCATGTGCACGCTCTCATGTTTAAGGCAGAGTGTTGCTATGCTGTCCTGGCTGACCTGGAATTTGCTGACAACTCTTCTGCTTTAGTCTACAAGTTCTCAGACAGCAGATCCTACCACCATGTTGGGCTTTCCAGACCTTGTGAGCAGGGAAACAAGCTTTTGAACAAAGGCGGCTGCTAGCTACAGGAGAGTAACCGCACCCCGGTGGCACACTTCCTTACATGCCCTGACTGGTTCTTCTTTCTCAGGCTAGTACTTTTCCACAAGTCCCATGGCTCTTTGGCAATACTCAAAGAGGAGCAGTTTTAATACTTAGCTTCATGGTCAAAATATTTTAAAAGTCAAGGCAGGATGGAAAACTGACTTTACAAGCTGTCTGCATTTTATGTCTTTCCCAGGGCTCAACACATAGTAGGGTCTCTGTAGCTTTAACAGGAGAGAAGCAAATGGGATTCTGTGACTTGTCCTAAGTTCACAGAATGGGTGAGAAACACAGCACGGCCAGCTTTACTCTTCTCCCCTTCCCAACAATGCGCCGACTACACAGTTCTCTTCTGCGCACTCTGGGCTTCAGAACTCTTCTCAGTTCAGCAGTTTAAGCAACTACTATAAATGGCTGGGGCTGGTTAGACTTCTTATTTACAAGCTTGCGTACTTTGAGCCAGGCACTGTCACTAGGCACCAGGGACTTAACTCTTACTATCAAGATGGGAAGTCGGGTCCTCATGAAAGAATGGGTAAAAGGCAAAGTAACTATCAACTGTGATATATGCAACAAAGAAACAAGGGCTAACTAACACAGACAGGAAAAGGATGACAGCTGTGGAAGCGAAGCCTGCTGTGCTAGCACTGAGGTGAAGTTCAGGAGAAGGTCAAGGTCGTCTTTGACTACACAGTAAGTTCAATTCTAGCCTGAGCTACAAGAGACCTTGCTTCAAAATACTACCCCAGCAATAACGAAAAGATGTATATGAATGTGCTTAGAGAAAAACCTAACTGAAAACAGAAAAGCAGATCAAATTAGCTCTGTTTAAACTGTAAAAAAGCACTCTTTAAAAAGAAAATTAGCCAGGCATGATAGTGCATGCCTTTATTCCGGTGGAAGGTAGACACAGGCGGATCTCAGTGAGTTCAAGGCTAGCCTGGTCTACAAAGCAGGTTCCAGGGCTAAGTAATGAGAGCTGGTCTTGAAGAGGACACGGGTTTAGTTCCCAGGATCCACATGGCAGAGGTAACTCCAGTTCCAAGAAAACCACCATCTTTGTCTGGGTTCCTGGGGCACCAGGTAAACACAGTGGTGCACATATACACAAAAAATAAAAATAAATACATTTTAAAAATGTTTAGGGTGGAGGAGGTAAACTCATTCAGTGAAGTGTATGCATGCAGTATAGGCCTGAGGTCCTGAGTTTGGATCCCTAGCACCCACATCAAAATGGTAGGTGTTAGCGGAGCCCCACTTATACCCCAGAGCTGGAGAGGTGGGGACAGGAGGGTACCAGGGAGAGACCTTGTCTCAAACAACCAGAAGATACACAACCCCAAACGCAGGCACCTCTACTCGCGTGTGCACACGTGCATCCGTATCCCCCACCTACACATGACCCCCTAGTGCTTTCCTCCACTTACAGGCATTGTGTGCACAAAGTAAGTTAGAAAGAACTCAAGTCCTGGAAGGTTCTTATATCTATGCGGGAAAGCAAGTAAAACATTACTCCTTTAAAGGCAAACAAATGCAATTAAAACTTAGTTTTGTTTTTTAAAACAGGTTGGCCTTAAACTTATGGTCTTCTGTCTCAGCCCTCTGAGTGTTAAAATTACAGATGTGTGTCATCACATCACACCCAGCAGGCAAATTCAATAGGAAGCACATAAGGGAAAGGTGAAAATGAACCTGCTGGGGAAAAAAGTACAGGTCCTGGTGCACCAAGTACATGGTATGCTGCTCTCCTACCCGCAGCAGACTAGTTCTGGGCTTTTCATCAGCATGCTAATGCTGAGGCCTCAGCGCCCAGAAGCCCTCACAACAGAAATCTAAGAGCAGGCAAAGGCAGCTGCATTAGATTCTGTGACTAACAAATTACCTCTCGGGCAATAGCTCTAAGCAGTGAAAACCTTACTTCCAACGACTTTTGGGTATTCGCCAATGCAGAGAGCGGACAGTGGCGCTCCTGCCTGCCATGGGTACAGGAAAGCCATGAGTAGGCCTCAGCCCAGCTGAGTCAGACTCTGGAGTAAACGCTAGGAAGATAACAGGCTCCTTCCAAGGGTGACTCTCTTCCCTCAGTTTCTTCAGCAGACTGTGAGGAAAGAGCCCTATTTCCCTGACTCCAATACAGAAACCCCAACAATATTGGAAAATAATAGATGATGTGCAATCTCATTTTCAAACACAAATTTCTTTCATGTTGAAAAAATGAGAAAAACTGTCAGTGTTTGTAGCTGCGAAGCTTCTTTAAGAGGATGAATCTGGCCACTGGCACCAGAAGAAAAGGAAAGGCAGGCTGCTTAGCATTTTCCTCTAACTTTCCTAACAAACTGCCCCCAAGTTAAAAAAAAAGAAAACGCTACCCTGATAACTGCTTCCAAGTATCAATGACCAGAACCATTGTTTTGAAACTTACTGGTACTCCAAGTTTATCCAAGTTATCCAGGAAATACTTCACAGACTCACCCTGAAAACAAGAAGAAAACAAAGTTACAAAGGCCTAGATGCTACAGTTTATGCTGTGCTCTGGGGCCCTACACTTGGTCCAAACATACTCTGCTCAGTCACATTCAGGAAAGCTGAAGCAGGGCTACCAAGTGTAAGGCCAGGTCAGGATACATAAGGGAGACTTTTGTCTCAAAAAAAAGAAAAAAAAAAAAAGAAAGGAAGGAAGGAAGAAAAGAAAAAGAAGAAAACAAACAGGAAACAAAGAAATTACTTTGACAAATACTAACTTTAAAGCACTTCTAGGGCTGAAGGTATAACTGAGTCGTGCTTGTGAGGCTTGCACAAGGCCCTGGGTCAGTCCTCAGCACTACATTAAACAAATACACAAACTGCCAACCAGAAACCCACAACAGGCACCTTCATTTGTTATGGCTTAATGGATGACAGAAAGACATTTGCTCTTGTACTTGACCTGTGACAATAGGTTAGCTTGACCGAAATAAAGGAAAACAATGTCTGCATTACAAAAGTTGTCACTGCAAAAGTTTCCAGGTCACTGTAGAGATTTTTGTTATGACACTAAATTTGGTAGGCCTAGTTTCCTGAAGGCTGGATCTCTGTGGGCCTAGAAAAGCGTTTCCTTCTCAGGCCCTGTTACACTGAAGGCTCTGTCTGCCCTGCACTCTGAATGGGTCGTCATCTGGCCACAGGCTAGTAGCACCTGACACTGGACAATGGGAACACAACAGATCACTGAGTTATACAAAGCTTTCAAACACTGGCATGTTTTATTATACACCTTTTAAAAACCATATTTGCCAACAACTATGCCCATCTTATTACAAGTCTGTGAAAGGCTGCCACACTCCCAGTGTCGGGCACATTTGGGTTTCCTATATTCCAACACTAGCTGGAAGCTCAAGCTTTATACTTCTAGTAACAAAAACCTCGGCTACTTTCCTTGAGATAGCAGGGTGGCCAAGTGTCCAAATGCCAGCCATTCCTTTAGGCAAAAGCAGCATGGCCTGAAAAATGATGGCTGAAATAGCTCAAAATAAGCCTAGTCATCCTTCAGTTTCTGAGACAGTCGTCCAGTTTCTGTTTCAATACAGTCATCAGAAAGACACTCAAGGTGAAGACTGAACGTAAGTAACCATTTTACTGTTCAATCTAGGGCAGTCTTCATGCAGGGAAACTGGCCATGGTGTGGGGCTGTGTGTCACACCCACAAAACAGGCCGATGAAGAACACAACAGTATGGACCGAGGCTCCCACACTCATCTGTTGCTCTTTACCTGAGGCACAGATGGTTGGGAGCTGCCGGAAGGGGCGCTGGCAATCGAACCTGGGTCTGCTGGAAGAGCAGCCAGTGTTGAGCCATCTCTTCAGCCCCAAGTTCCCTTTTCAAACTGGGTAGCATCCATCCCCTCAAGCAAGCTGTGTTGTTTATAAATTTAGAATCCAAAACACACAGTGAAGCAACTAAGCATCATGGAAGGTGGAGGAGCTGAAGTGCTTAAATTATCTGCTTCAAGACACAATCCTCCAGAAGGTACCTTTCAGTTTTAAGGAGATTTCTACAGCTGAACTGAACACATATGGGGAACTGAGCACAAATACAGATGTGTCATCTGTAACTGTCATTTACTGCTTCTCCTCTCTATTTCTAAATGGGAACACAGAGCTACTTGTATTCAAGGAGCTGGTAAGGGTAAAACGAAGTTGCTATAATTGGTACTTCGGAGTAAAGAACGAGGATTGTGGCACTGGCTCCTGACCTGTAGGACCTAAGCACACCCATACACATAACATACAATACACATGTACACAGGCACACACACACACACACACACGTATACACATGCATGCACTAAATGTGATTGTACTTGCACATGTGTGTACACGTGTTTATGGCTGTGTGCACCTGCACAGAAGTCAGAAGAGGGTGCTGGTGTCCCCTATCACTCTGTCTAGTCCTTTTAGAGTAGGGTCTCTCCCTGAACCCGAGGTTTGCATTTTCTAAGCTAGGCTGGAAGCCAGTAAGCCCCAGAGGTCCTCTTGACTGCCCAGCTCGGAGATGGGAACCCCTGTTGCATGGGTGCTGCTGCACACTGTTCCTCGGGACTGCGCAGTGAGAACACTGAACTGCTGAGCCGTCTCTCTAGCCCTGACTACACAGTGAGAACACTGAACCGCTGAGCCGTCTCTCTAGCCCTGACTACACAGTGAGAACACTGAACCGCTGAGCCGTCTCTCTAGCCCTGACTACTAGCTCTTTTATTTTTTTTCTTTTAGTTTTTTTCAAAATAGGGTTTCTCTGTGTAGCCTTGGCTGTTCTGTAGACCAGGATGGTCTCAAACTCATAGAGATCCACCTGCCTCCACCTCCCGAATGCTGGGATTAAAGGCGTGCGCCACTATGCTTGGTGGCACAGATAGTATTACTTCTAAGTATTATCTTTTGAACAAATCCTTCCTTCCTTCCTTCCTTCCTTCCTTCCTTCCTTCCTTCCTTCCTTCCTTCCTTCCTTCCTTCCTTCCT